TTGCTGATAAGTCAAAACAATTTCATATTTTATAAAGCTATTAGAAGAGGCAAAGGGACAACTCTCCTGCCAGAACATCCCTACACACCTCCCCACTCACATCTGCCTAAGCACCTTCCAGTCCAGTAAGTTAAACATAACACACTCTGCCTTGTCTTATCGCTCAAGGAACAGGGAACAAGTGCCACCTTCCGTGTCACACATGAATCATCCACTTTCTTCCCCATTACACCAACTAAAAAAGCCCTGATCAACTGAGCTTTCTGTGACTGTGATTCCTTTCTATTTGCACCATTACAAGTACCCAGGAACCCTCACTGGTCAACATTTTCATAACACATCTAGATTACAGCACTAAAAGGACGTACAAATATATCTCCTGTCCAACTTAAATGTTAGCTTTATATTAGCATTAGCTTTGCATTTTAATGGCTTCCAATGCCTATCATGCATAAATACACTTAAGTGAGGTCAAAAAACAGTCTTGACACATTTGGATAACAGTAATGACAACAGAGCCCACAAACTTTGTATCTGCCTGCTTGAGTTCAGTGTTTTCACATGTTAGTCACAATCATAAACGCATTTGCTTTTTTTGCTTTTTGTCTGTGAAAATCTTGGAAACTTAACAGCACAAGCCACAAGCAGACATGTTGATGCTCTACAGTTAGGCACGTATTTTTTTTTTAGGCATCACAAAGTAATCTAAAGAAAGCGAATATGGAGCCCAAATTCTTCCAAGAAAAACAGATAAGTTTTTTCTGCTGGGAAAAGCACAAAAAGAGACAAAACTAGTAAGATTACTAGCTCAAAATCACTCATAGAAAAAATGCCAGACTGAGGAACACAAACTATTCCAACAAAACATGAAACTTCGCAAGGACTTCTCCCAAAATGAGGGGACTACTTGAGAGTTTTCAAACAACTGCACCCATGCACAGACACTTTTAATCGGGTTTGCAACAAAAACACAGCAATTCCTACTGCCATGTGAAAACAAGGCTGCATGGCGGCAATTACTCTGTTCTGAGCTTGCCCTCACACTTTAAATAAGAACGGCAGAAATTACTTTACTTAACATTTTTCCTGCTATCCTAAATAAGTGGGCCACACCTGGAAGTTGTAGCTGCATGAGCCCAGAAATATTTTCTTTCAGTCACCACTAATATACTAAGAAACTAATATAGAAACTTTGGCAATTTGTTCTCCTGTTTTCGGTAGAAAATTTACATATGAATTACACACCAAATTCCCTTGGTCTAATAAACTGTTCTGGATTTGCATGATGAAAATACTGCTTCTTCATTATCGCCCTTCTTTTGCTATTCTTTTCTGTCTTTACAAAATAAACATGTACACCTAAAGCCAGCAGCAAGCAGAGTGGTGAGTCTACCTTTTGCCTTGACTCCATGCATGGAACCAGAGGTTTGGAAATATATCCTCGCGTTTCAAAAGATTTTCAGATTCCCAGATTTTCTGCCGAACAGGCTCTCTTGCTAGTCACTGCCTTGTGTGTATGTATTGACACAGCAGACGATACAAGTTAAGAAATTGTCTGATGCAACTCAGCTGATTTTCAAAGGCATAAAAAAATAGCATATCACAGCTTACATAAATAACTGATGTTCAGGACCCGACTGGAAGACCCAAATACTGATTTTCTATTACTTTTCATATTAATTAATCACCATTAGATAAAGATCAAACGAACTCACACAGAGGCTAGAAACAGCACAAGGGGTACTTAGGTGTTTCCCATGACAGAATACAACTCAAACATTGGTTTTGCACTCAAGAGCAGAACTGCAAACATTTCATAATCGCACTACATATGGGAAATCAAAACAAACCTTACCTTATTTAAAATGGCAATTTTAGTAAAAAGTCAGGCTATGCTAGAACAGAGTGTAAGGAACCATGCCATCCTCCTTCAGCAAACTTTTCCAAATGTCCCTGTATTCAACTAAGTCTAACTCCGCTCTGTTTTGTTTCCCCAGGAGGACCCATTCAGGACCATGCGCTCCTTTTCAGCTGTCAATAAACAGAAGCAGTGAATTCCCCAGCGCTTCACAAAGCTAGTTAGGCATAGCCATTCATTTCTTCAGGAAAACAGGGCATTGATTTCAGCAAATTCCCAGGGAGCAGCTACAACAAAGAGATCAAAGACCCACCTCCTTTCCTGCCTGGCTTTGGCCGGCTGGGCTGAGAGGAGCACCAACAGGTTTCCCGAGGAGCGGGGCTCTCTACCCACCGACCACTGCACGCTCCATTCACAACCATCGCCTCCCTACATTCCCGGGACAGCCCCCGGCGCTAACCGTGACAAACCCCTACATTCAGGCAGCATAATATACTGCACACTAGTTCATCCAAGGATAAAAAGAAAAACAAGCTCCAAGGGAAGTCTGCTGCTTCCCCAACCAGCCGAGCCTCAGTAGCTGACAGACTTTTCATAAACGTCTTTTTTTATCTTTTTCTTAGCTTCTCCAGCTAAATCAGAAAAACACTTGCTATCTCAAATTCATTGTGCTGAAACCTCTCCGGAATGTTAGCTTTTCTGATTTATTTCCACCAGCTTGAAGATTTAGCTGCTGGAGTTTGAGGTCTAGCTGCAGCAGCCCTTGTATTGTGCAACCATGATACTTTCTTCGTGCAATTTGCCCTACACTGCAGTGGGGTTTTTTCTAAGGAATTTAAGGGGGTTTGTTCCAGTTTGGTTAGAATTTTTACTTTTTTAAATTATACATCTTGTCTTCATTACTGTAACCTGGAAAAATATTTTTAATGCTAAAATTTGACCTTGAACCAAGCATTATTAGCAAGAGACAATGTCATCGTCAAGCTTAAGGACTGGTGGTTAGGCTACACATCTACTGCTAAATAGTAAGAGCCAGAGACCTGGTGCTGAGACTACCTGGCACCAGCTCCATGTGCCTAAATGCTCGTCATCGCCTTCTCTTTTTCCCCACAAACAGTTTGGTTATATCCAAATTCCTTACCTGGAACATGGCCTGGTAGATATTATCCCTCACACACACCCTAATGTTTGTTGCTTGTTAATATACACTAGTACTGAGTTCACAGGCTGGCCCTGAAATATTTATTTATATACATACAAACATAAAGATCTGAAGTCAATTCACACCTGTACAGATTCGCCATGTCATTCTTTAGCATTTTTCTTGTGCACTGACATTTTACCAAGGCACTACCCAGCTGTCACAAACACCCACCAGCTGGAACCTGGAAAGTTCCCTCAGCGCTGGTACTGCCTCCAGGCCACTGACACATCTCCAAGTGAGAAGACAAATGTTATCCCACTAACATGAGCAAGTATCACAGGGCCTAGCACAGCACAAGCAGTACAATCCTGAGAAGACCAGGGACAGATTGTAGGGATGACTGCTTGCTACATAGAAGACAGCTGAGAACACAAGGAAATACAGAACTGCAGAATTATTCAAGTTGCAGGAGACCTGTAATGATCAACTAGCCCAGATTCTTGCTGAATGCAGGCCCTTTAACAGTGTTACCCAGGGCCTCGTCAAGTGATCTCAAATACTTCCAGTGAGGGCAACTCCACCACTTCCCTGGGCAGCCTATTCCAATGTTTGTTCGATCCCTCATTGAAAATGCCCCTTGCATCCACAACCATTTCCCCTGAAGCAATTTGTGGCCATTGTCTCTTGTCTTGTCACAGTGCATGCCTGGGGAATGGCTGCTTCCAACTCCTTTTCCACAACCACCATTTTTATACTGAAAGACCATGACTAGATCCCCTTGATCCTTCTCCGAGCAGGACACACCCAACTCCTTCAACCTCTACTCAGGTGACAACTTCTCTAACACCCGAATAATTTGGGGGAACATGAGAAAGGCACTGTTGCTGAGCTGAATAAAAAGAAAAATTAAACTGCCAGGGCATAAAATTGCTAAAACAGACGAGCATCTGAGTACAGTTGAGGAGTCTTGGCCATGACACCCCTGCAGCCACCCCACCCTCTACTTTAATATTTCACTCCTGATCCTGTTGTATACAATACAGTCAGGCACATTACATTCCTTATTTTAGAGTTCTCTAAGTGGCCTTTAAGCATGCCCTGAAATTGACATTTTGCAGAAAAATTTTAAAAATGCATTTTAACAAATAACTTGATCTCCACATATAATTGCTATCTTCTATTAAGCCACTGATGGTTTTATATTTATTAACTGATTGCAGTTATCAATGAAAAATACCCCTTGTTTTCCTTGTTCCTCTAAGGAAGTACTGAAGAATGATAAAATAAATGTGTGTCTGAAATTTCCCTCTCTTATATTGCACAGTGTGCAGCTGGACAGCCCTTGGAGGTAATGGTAAAAAAAAGGCAGCTGAGGCACTGGAGGGATTCCAAAAGAAAGCATGTAGATCAGATCAATAAGCAGGAAAAATGTGTTTAATGCTTTAGCTAACTTAAGCTGGAGTGAGAGAGTGCAAGTATTGGGGAAACGTGAGCAGCAACTTTCTGTGGTAGTTACAACAGCAAAGTATAAGATATACCACTTGTCTGTTAAGAAGGACAAATAATAGTGATAAGCAGGAGATTTGGATGTGACTGGGATAATGATGCCATGGAAGCACAGGAGTTAAATTCACAAAATGATTAAAAAATCCTGAGCACATCACTCTGTAGTAATCTGGGATGGTATTTGTGCCAAAGATAGATAAAACATTTTAGACAGAACTGTAATTTTAAATCTCAATGAACCAGTCTGTTCTTATACTTGGGCCAGATTTTTACAATTTTACTCACATTAAGTCATGCTTTACTCCAAGAATAATCACGTTGATTATAATGGTAATATTGTTCCACAGATGTCTCGGAAGAAACGCAAATGTAAAAGCAGACTTTATACTTCAGATAAAAGACATCAATCATGAGTACATCTGGAAATCCGATAAAAACATATGGTACAAAAAATCACTGTGGTGATTTTCGTGATGATGGAAATGTACTTACAGAGCAGGTCTGTGGACATGTTTACAGATCAGGCAAAGGAAACCTACACAAAATAAATGAAAAAAGAATTATCAGTTTTCTGAACTAGGACTACTTATATTTGTATCTCATGCTAATAAGCATATGCATAATCTTTTAGTTCTTTAGGAAATGAAAAAATATCGACAGAAATCTAAAAAGGAAGAACTTCAGTTTGTAGAGGAAAAGAAAAACTGATTCCAATTCATTTCACAAACAATGTAAATTGACAATATTAATGTAATACATTTTAATTAAGAGCAGTTCACTGTATTCCATATCTTCATTAACTTTTATTATTATGTATTTTCCAGGCATCGATTATAAAAGAATTTTCAAGCATTGTGTATTTTACTCCATTGCATGCTATTCTGTTTTTAAGCCTGATATTTCTAACACTCCTGACCCTTGCAGAGTCAAAAAGAATATTAACCAAATATAGGGCAAGACATTTTATTTGCTCTCTTGAAGGATTTCTGGAGACTTTTGGTTTTCTGCTGAACTCATTCATCTTGTCCCCTTTCCATTCATCTGCTGGTTTTTGACTGAAATTTTACTATAGGCACATAGGAGTACAGTCAGTTTTCTGCAGCTGTCTGAGCAATCCCCAACACATGGGTATCCCCAATGACTGAATAAGGCTACTTGGAGCTACAGAAATAATAATGCATGTATTAGTAAGAGGACACACAAATAACAGTATGAATTACATCAGTGTATGCCATTTTGTGCCCCGTATAAACAGGCAGTATTTAAAGGAATATTTTGTGGATATTTTTAAACATGTAGATATGGTGCTTAGACATGGCAGTGCTGGGTAAATGGTTGGACCAATGATCTGAAGGGTCTTTTCCAACCTAAACTAGTCTACAATTCTATGAAAACTTGACTCTGATGAAGACAACAGCATATTGTTGCTGACTGAAACGGGTAAAAAACAAAATCTTCATTTTTAAAAATACAGTGATAGTTAGTAAGATACTTCCAAATTAATTGGAGCTGGTTGCAAGAACTGAGTTGTGCTGTGAGAAAGCAGCAGCAAAGGGACCCACATGCTAGAGGGACATCAGCGAGTTCTCTTTCCAGATAAAAACAGGCATGCTGACAGCAGGCTTCCTAAGCAGCAAGTGTCCTAGTCTGATTTCCATCATCCAGAAAACACTTTATTTCTGAAAAAAATCGACTCTGGCATTTGACGCCATTCTGGCTGAGAGCAAGACTCTTGTCTATGGTGTTCATTTCTAAAAATATAACCCTTGCAGAGGGAACAGTGGACTTTAATGGCATCCATATGTGACTGTACACGCACTAGCCTTTGTCATCCCCAGAAACAGCAGGCTGCATGTTATCACTGTCAAAGCAGTGCCATCAACTAACAGAGATTTCATTTCCCCCACTGAATAACTAGATTCACAATAAAATGATTTAATTGTGCTGGCATTCAATCTGCAGGGCAATTACCTGGTAAACCGCAACACAAGCTCTTCCCTCCCATATGGTTTGAGTCCTTAGTATACCTTCATTGCCACACATCTAGTCTGCAGCACTGTCCTGTCATGAGAAAGTGCAGCCTCAGTCCATGCCCTCCCTGGCCCCTACACATCCTCCATCTAGCCTTGTTACAGTGACAGTGCAGTCCATGAACACCCCAGTTAAGGTTTAATTGAGTTGTTCTATGATGTCACTTTGGAGTTAAATCACCGAAGTGTTTTTCTCCACAGGCCACTGACATCTGAGAAATTTTTCCCCCTGTACAATTCTATGACGAAACATTGCTAACATAGTGTTAGCAACAGCAACCCCAAGTACTCAAGTCCAGCCCTTGGAAGGGCACAGAAACTACAGATCAAGAGGGAGCACCTCTGTGAGGGCATCCCAGTCACTGCCAGACAACCCATTCACACAACAGAAGAACAGCAGGCGCACTACCACAAGGAACTGCTCCTCTTCCAGTAGCTGGTTCAGACAGGGTGAGGATAAATACAACAAAGTGTATTTGCAGGGGCAGGAGAGTTTAAGTAGAACTACAAGCTCCTTCATAAGCCATGCCAGCTCTTACCTGCAGTTATCCTCAACATGGATCCAGAACTGCCTGTCATCCTAGCTACACAAAATCATACCATAAATCCCTCTCCTTCTTCAAGGGTCGAAGGCCATCCCTTGTGCAGTGTACTTTCCCCTGACCAAGGGGGCTCCAACACATGCAGAGCTGTGGCAGCCACGTATACTGTGCCAAACAGGCACAGTGCCTGGCAGTTTCTGGCCGCATCAGTCACTTGTCCGTCTAAACTCAGGTGGCTGACCATGTACCACATTGACTTTTAGATGAAGTGCAGTAGGTACATTGGCCAAATTTGCTGTGCTGGCCACACAGTCAAAAGAAGTTGTTTGCAGTTGCTCTTAAGTATCCTCCTTTCTCATCGAAGAATGGGCAGAAGAGGAGGAGAAGCTGAGCAGGGGATGTTTCCTATACATGAGCATTGCAGCCTTGAAAATGTAAGGCAAAGCCTTACAGGTTTTACAGCCTTTCAGGTATCAGGAAAATAGCTTATTCATTTAGGTTGAGGAAGACTTGATGGGTTAAGTATAATAGATGGTTAACAGTCAAGAGATAGCAAAGCAGTGATTACAGGCACTTTGAATGATGAAAAGTTCAATGCTTTGTGGTGGTGGAAAGTGGTTTGCACCCGTTAGAGGAAGCGGAGATGAGTTCTGCACTGCCTAGAAGGACATGTCATAGTGTATTTTGTGTAGGAGCCAGGATTTTAGGGTTTGGGTTATTTTCAGTTGCTTCACCATTGCCAAAAATTCACAGACTATGCATATTATGTTTTACAAGTGATTGTAGTGGGCACACTGTGAGTATGTACGACCCAAAACAGACACATATGATGGTGGTGGGACTGCCCTGAGATGTCCAGAGTCCACAATGGGAAAGGCAATGCCTGTTACCTTATCTGTAATGAAAATAGGCAGCAGTTTCCAGGTATGGTTGATGAGGAGGACCTACAATGAGGATCAAGGTCACTGCTACACCAGAGGAAAGGTGACTTCCTCAAGGAAATGCACAGCAAGGAAAACCAGACTGCGCAGGACCTATAGGGCTGTTCCTGATGCACAAGACATCCATGAAGGCTGCCAGCAATGGCCTTGACAACTTCCTTGCTTACCCGTGGTTCATACTGGGAGGCAGCAAGAAGGGCAGCAAAGACTTCACCTTCTACAGCTGCTGCAGGTCACTGCAGAGTTCTGGGAGAATGACAAGGTTTAACCAAAAAGCACTTGTCTCCCTTGCCTTGAAGTTCATCTTTACGAGAGACAACAGACTCCATGGCAAGGGAAGCCAAGAAACTGCTCTGTGAGGGACCTTTGCAATGTCTGCAATGCAAGACTACAACTTGTTGTTCAAGACAGCTGCCCTGCATTACCCAAGGATTCTCATGTGGGTTCATGTGACAGAGCTCTTCCACTGACCTCTCTTTCAGAAGATAGACATCTATCTTCCCTGGCATCATGCCACAGAAAGCCAAGGGAAAAGCAGGCCCAGATGTGGGAAGAGACATAAGTGGCAACGACAGGAAAAGCTTTCACACCGTGGGTGACACCCTTGTGCTCGCAACACGATGACATCTGTAGATAACAAGAGAACACAATGCCTGCAAAAGAGACCTATGCCATGCAGAGACAAAGACCTGGATCGCAGCTTCTGAATTATGAACCCACTGTGAGTTGAAATATGGCTGAACCAGTCAGCTTCTGCCACCCACCAAGTCCTCAGAGGTTATTACAGAATTCCTTACATTGCTTTCCACATAAAAACTATGTCCAAAAACAGTGACAACTGTAAATGCAGGCATACTCTGTAGTGATCTGACGTTACACAGCCCCCAAATGCACCTCAGTTTCATGCTGCCCACCAAAGAGGCACATTAGTTAACCAGTCATCAAAAGACTAATCTCACAATGTGAAGTCATCTGTCCACCTTACTCATGCAGTTGAAAAGGGACACTGCTATTCCTTGGATACTCAGAAGAATGCCCAGCACAACTCATTTATAGATTCACAACAGCTTCATGTAAGTGATATTGTTACCTAAGTACCTTTTATAGTATTTTAACTAAGTAAAGGTAAAACACAAGTAAATGTATTTTTTCAAGACATCTATGGTAAGTAATGGAGTTGAAGATGTCTAAAATACACAAGCAAAGATGTGACAGGAAAACCACATTTAACCTACTTACACTGAGATTAAATCAGGAAGGACTCTCTTTTCACCACCACAGAAATCAGTTGCTGGGGTTTAACTTTCAGCACACCTGATGACTCAAGTTGCAGTCCCTCAGAAGAAAACACCTTCATCTATCACACAGCATTAGCATTCCACTAGTGTCCCTACTTGTGCTCTTTTGGCTACTGCTAGTGCTTGTGCTGGGCTAACTGCTGACATAGTTTATCTTCTCCCAAATTCATGAACAGGAAAGAAAATCATAATGATGTAGAAATTACTTAAGATTAACAGAGTACTAACAGGGAAAAATTAATATGCCCAGCCAAAATCTTCATCTAATGAAATCTACACAGATTTTCTGAAGTTTGTGTTAGTCCCACATGTTAGTCCCACCTCCATATGAGGATTTAGTGCATGCTAAATACAACTCATTAAACATATGATTTGTTTGATGTTACTGATCAACAGTGATACTCTGCACTTTTTAATCTACCACATGTAGAGTCCCTCGCTGGCAAAATAGATGAAACTATAAATCACTTTATTTATAATATAAAAATAATATAGTTTGTACTTTTACAATTACTTGGGTTTTTTTTCAAGTCATGGTATTATTTTCTAATTACAAAAGAGAAAAACTGTTTTACCATCATTTTTTTCTTTATGTACAGAATTCTGCATCTTTCCCTTGATTAAGCAAAAAAGGTTGTGCAGTACAACACATGAAAGTTTGTGTCCATAATCCAGAAATTTGGCTCACGAATATTGCAGAAGCTCTCTAAGTAAGTCTTATTTGTGAATGTAAAAAATAAGGAAAACCCAAAATTAGAAATGTAATGTCTTTCTCTTTTACAAAGGACTATGCAGAGGCAAAAGAACTGTAAAAAATAATAAGGAAGTCAGTGAGTTGACAAAAGTAATGTTCTCAAGGATGTTTTCTCCAATGTATTTACTAAGGATATTTTGTATACTTTCATGACAATGTTTAAAATTATGTTTACAGACACACAGACACTATACAAATACATAAACTGGTCCTGCTGCTGGAGGAAACTTTATATACACATCTCCATAGATTTAATATAGTAGTATGCAAGCAACCAAGAGCTCTGTCAGTTCCCAGTGACTTCAAGAGTCATCCTATTGAAAATTTTTTTATCTCTTGGCTAATATTTCAGCAAAGCTATACTGAGCATTAAATATGGATACATTAAGAAGTACTGCCTTACCATTCCCTCTACCAACCAACCAATACTCCAACCTGGTTATGATCACCTCAACATGTAGCATCAACAAATATGGTCCACACACAGGCACCTAATCTATCCAAATCTGTTTTCAGTTTAAAGCAAAAAAACCCCCCTTTTTTATTAAAAGTAATTACATCTCAGAAACACAAAGACCAACAAATCCCACTCCATGTTTCAAAGCAAATTCTTCCTGTTCTGAAATATGGCACTGTCTCTTACCATATTTTCCCAGCCTGTATCACTTGACACTGGCCTATTTCAGTCAACAAAAGACCTCTGGCAGACAAGGCATCAAACACAAGTCTTTGCCCACCTCTAGTGCCCTGATAACAAGGAAAGCTATTATATAGAATTTTTTAAAAGAGAGTAACAAAAGGGAGACAAACTCCTAGGAAGAGATACCAAACAGCATCGCATGCCAGCCTGCCTTACTGAGGGCTGCTCTTGTTGTTTGGCTTTGCAAAGCACTCAGAATTTTGACTGCGATCCAGCAAAGCAATTCTGCATTTCCCATGTTTTCCCACCACTGACTTGCAGAGAACTATTTGTACACATGAAGACAAACCTACACTTCATATTTTGCTGGGTCAGGATCAAGGCACGAATCATCTTTCTGGATCCTTATTTTCTTATGAGAATTGGATAAAATGAGCTAAAAAAAATCTTTTAAGTGTGAGCTTTAGAAAGCCTCAAGACCCAGGAACATTCCTAAAATAATTTGCATTCCACAGCAGCAGGGCAAAACCATTTCCATTTCAATGAGCCCTTTGGAGAGGACTCTGGTCTACCGGCTGAAACTCGGGACTGAATCCCAGCATAAAATAAACACCAAACCCACTTGTACAAGGTCACATGAAAAAGCACTTTTTCCTATTCTCCCTCAATACTTTGGCTAAACTCTTTTTCATCACTTCAAGCCTGCATCCCAACATTTATTTCAAGAAGGGCACTGCAACTCCTCTGCTGGACAGACTGGTAAGCAGGGAGATTTCCTGTTCCTTTCCTGTATCATCCTCAAGCAGCTGTCCCCAAAGAGTCAACAAGTCAGTGGCTTCAAAAAAGGTTTGACGAAAACCTGGGTTTTAACACTCTCTTCTTTCATAAGTTTGATACAAATAACACGCACTAGCAGCTGAAAACTTTCCAAATGTGGTGAGCAAAACCCACAGCGGAGACAGACAAACAGACAAGTTCCCACACGGTGCAACAGACACTCACTCCTGTGACCAGAGAGGGGGATACACATTTAGCCAGTACTTTGGCAATGTCAGTAAATTTCAGGAAATCATGAAAACAGATTTGTCATTTAGAAGCCAACACCTTACCTCACACATCTTGCTTAGATTACGGTAATCTAAAACCTCCCACCCTCAAAATTCTCACAAACTTGCACTTTATCTACGACATATGCAACCTAAGCACTATTGCAATAAGGTGATGCAGTGTGTAACGTTGCTGCTGTATTATAAAAACACTTATATTAAAATTATTTGGTCAAATTCCACTTCTCAGTTTTGCTCACTCTCATACATTTTTAGCTTTTATAAATCTCAATGCTGTGAAATGACTACTTCATTCAGAAACTTGTAAAAGTGAGGCAGTTCTACCTGAAAAAAGATTTTGGGTCAAGAATATTGGTATTTTTCAGTTATTTTAGATGCAAGGTGCTCTTCACAGTGATTCCAAGGGGTTTAGCATCTTAGCCTCTTTAGTTGCTTCATAAAAGCAACTACACATAAATTATGTAGCAAAGCATAATTAATGCTCTTCCACAACATGCCTTGCTGTTTGTTAACAGCTTCTTGGCTAGTAGAAATGTTTACTTTTTCCTCTCCACTCCCAAAGGTCTCATACTTCAGAGATTTGCTCGAGCTGCCCGAAGTAGGCAGTGATAACACGAATACATCCTTGTAACTCTGAAGCATAAGTGAAGTTTTCACTAAGAACTTAATACTCGAGGCACAGAGACAGCAGGAGCTGATTTGTTTTAATCAACGCCACAAGACTTATACTGGGTAACAGCTGACTATCACATCGCTCCATTTGTTTGCTTCAACCTGCAAGCTCAGGTTTCCTTTGGACAGCAGTTGGACCTGTCAATGGCAAACTCAGCAGCAATGCCACCCACATCCTTTCCCTCTGTTCACACATGTGAACTGGCTGGAGCAGGATACTGCATGGAAAATGCAAGCTGCCACTTCATACGGCACAGAGGCAAGGGATAATTATTAGAACTAATTTACTAAAATTAGCCATCACATTAATTGTCAGGGGCTGATTCTATTGGAACTAAACTGTAACTTGAGGAGTGATCTCTTATTGCCTTTTCTTAAAATATATGTTTGTTTTAGAGGTTATATTTTCATAACAGTGCCTAGAATGGCTATGGTGCACAACTCTAATAATATCTAAATCCCCCAAATGGCCCATTTATGCTTTAATAATGAAAGTTACACATGTTCATAAATATTACTTGGCTGTTTTCTTCATTTTTCCTTTGGTTATCAGGCCATTTAATGACTCCAAAAATCTGCAAATTGTAGGTCACGGATTATTGTTGAATAAAAGCAGATATAGATGCAGACTATTCATATTCAGCCCGGTAACTTGTTTCTCAGATAAAAGAGAGATAAAATGCTGCTCCCCACTGTCAACTAAAGATTAATTGAACCTCTTGTTCTCTCATACTCACAACCAGTAACACAGACTTATAACTGGACTCCTGCTTTTCCGAGGTCTGGACTGGAACAGCATGGTATACAAACCTGTTTGGGATTCTGTGCCACTTCTTGCACATTACTTAAACAAGAAGCCAAAAAAATGTGGCATTACATGCACAGTGTTCATGCCTGTTTAAAGTTTCATCCTGCAGGGCAATTTTGTTCTACTGTTTTGTCCAGCAAAACTGAAACTTGAATAAATTAAAAGACTGTCTCTTCTCTACACAAGGTTCTTTTTTTCAGTGAAAAGAGAACATGAAAGGAATTACGAAAACAGGATAACAAGGTCAGTGATGTAGAGACTGGTCAAGGAGGAGCCACTACCTCCAGAGAATGACAAAAACAACTTAGAATAAAGTCACCATTAATTCCCCTGTCAATACCAAATAAAGAGCTTGGAATACGGAGCACCATAGATTAATGAATGCCAAGTGCAGGCTGATATAAAATACACCTTGTAATTCAACAGTTTGGCATTTTTATTGCAGTCACTTGTCTGTATGCCAGTTTTTCAGACAGCCTTGGAACCTGATTAACTTCTCCATGTGCTCTAGCAGGAGAGTCCAAGAACACCATTTCTTCATTTAAAAGTGATCCTGACATAGAAAAATTACAATAATGTAGAAAAAACAAGCTAAGTGATCTCTAACCTTCTATTAAAATTCACCGAGAAGTCACTTGTCTTCATTTCTTCACCCAGTTGCATGACCTCTTCAACTCTGACTTTTGAAACACCCATTCAGTATGGTTCTGTGAGTTAATGAAAAATAACCTGAAATAACTCACATGTTTGGCATTTGCACCCCAAATTACCAGAAGGCTGGTTTAGTAATTTATAAAAACCTACATGAACATATTCTGTCAGATGTTTATACAGCATGTCAGGTCTGCAAGTGGAAGAACTTAGGGTTTTCTAAAAGTGCCCACTATGAAAAGCTTGGATGTTTTCTATCAACAGCTACCAAAGTGTATTTTATTTGTTGCACCATGACATTCTAATCTCCAACATTTACTACAATCTTAATAACAAACGAACATATTTCTAATAAATGGTTGCTAATGACTAGCTGACTATATTCACATTGGCAGAATCCATATGATTCAAGAGTCAGTGTTCTGCTGTCAAGTGGTTCAGTAAACTCTGTGGATTCAACTTTGGAACAATATCCTTGTCAAAACACGTAATATTAAAATTTACTGCCATTTCAGATTCTGGGATCCAAATATATTACTAAAATTATGACGGCAACCATAACACCTAAGTAGATGTGCAACAATTTTTGCTAGCAAGCTGGAATTTAATATTAAAAATTATAACCTGACTAAAGGTCTTTAGACCCTTAGATGATTACTTAATAAATTAGATGATTACTTAATAAATTTATAAAGTTATCAGTGTAAATCACTGACCACAAAGATAATTCATACTTATACAGTCTAAAAAATCAGTGAATTTGACAAGTAAAAATTTTCAAAGTAATATGTTCTGCTGATATTTTTACAGATCAGAAAAAGACACTAATTCTACCTTGTCTTCAACTATTTCATGAACTGCTTTTTTGACTTGGGTAAAAAATATTTAAAACAATCTTACTTATATTATCTGTTTTCTACCAGTTTAAGAAGTCCATATTTATTTTATTTTAGACAATGTCTAATTTTAAAATTATTTTATATTTCTGAGATTTTTGATGTTAGTAAAAGTGGTATGAAAAATTTAATAAAATCTGATAATTTTATTTTTGAAAGGACTGAGACCACAACCCACTCTCACTCAGGTCACTTTGATGACCTCTAACATCGTAGTATACACCCTGTAATCCAGCATTTCATCTTTGTTAGAGATTCTAAAAATCTGTAAATATTTGGCTGTATAGGTCTTGAAGCCTGCAAAGACTTGAAGTGTTTATAAACAAGTGTTTACTTGTTTATGCCTGAGATTCAGGCATAAACACTGACAAACAGCTGAAACAATAAGAACAACTTCAAGGAAAAACAAAATCATTTCAAGTCTTATCTTTTCTATTAGAGTAAGACAAAGGGTGGAAAGCAATTTAATCTCCCATTCATCCTTGTTTTGTTTTCTATCTTGTCAGTCTCTCTGTTTTGGCCAGGGCTGCTTTTCTTCTTTTCATTCAATAAATGCCTAAAAATTAGGCATTTTTACAAGCCAAAACCCTCCACAGACTCAGTGAAAAATCTGTATAGCAAATTCAATGATTAAAAAGGGAGACAATTCCTTCTATCACTTTCAGTAAGAGTATTTTAGAAAGAACAGCATGTAAATGTTCACAAGTCAAGTAAAGATGATTTCCAAGTGTGAAAATTATTCTTGTCTCTGGCAGCTGCTATGTGAGAAGTAATAAGGTCCAGAAGCCTTGCTGGGCACAACCAGTGACAAGAATATCATTATGATCCATCTGCAATCCCAAAGAGAAGCAAAATGCCTCGTCAATCTTTTGTTCTAAGCAAAACTAGAAATCCAAAGTAACATGTTTCCAAGTCAAGACATAGTGAGTGTCACCACAAGAACAGCTCCCTGACCCCCTCAAATGGTTTTGAGTAAGGACAAGCTGAGAATACCTTTCAGAACTGCAGAATTTTGGTATCACAGATTTTATAGTAAATGCGTTTTCTCTGCCTGCATATTTACTCGCTTTGTGAGGAAAGGAGTGTTAGGTTTGTAAAAACAAGTGAGTCATGAACAAGTCAAAATATTTCCAGTAAACTTATTTTTGCCTGAATGCCCTGAGTTAACTGAAACCAAAACATTTTGCAGACTCGTATCAGTTTCACTGGCTTGTGATGAATTGGTGCTCCAGGCTGTGCTACATTTTGCTGAAATTGTTAGTAACAGAATCACAGAATCAACTAAGTGAGAAAAGACCTCTGATCATTGAATGCAACATGACCAATTACCACCATGTCCACTAGACCATGGCATTAAGTGCCATATCCAGCCTTTCATCAAACACCTCCAGGCACAGTGACTCCACCACCTCCGCTGGCAGTCCATGCCAATGTCTAATCACTTCTGGGAAGAATTTCTTCCTAATGTCTAACCTAAAACTCCTGTGAGCCATCTTGAGACAATGTCTTCTTGTCCTGTTTCTGGTTTCCTGGCACAAGAGACCAACCCCACTGGGCTACAGCCTCCTTTCAGGCAGCTGTAGAGATTCAGATCTCCCTTGAGCCTCCTTTTCTCCAGGCTAAACACCCCAAGCTCCCTCAGCTGCTTCTCATAACACCTGTGTTCCAAACCTTCACCAGCTCTGCTGCCCTTCTCTGGACAAGAGAAGTTTCACTCACCTTCGTTTGGGGTCTAACAGCCTAATTGTGGAAATCCTCACCTGATTCTTACTTTTATTGGCATCCACCACTGAGGACCAACACCGAGGGATCTCTTTCCAGTGCCTAGCACCGCTGGAATGAAGAAGGGCTATCTGGCTGCCAGGTTTACAGGAAGCAAATGATGCATCTATTCAGGATACCTCATGTGCTAGTTTTCAAATTACTCTTCCACTGAAAGAGGGAGGAGTGGTTTTCTCATAGTGCATTTGGACTCATTCTGGCCAGCAGCCCTGGTCTTTTCTTGGATGAGCCCCGAGAATACAAAAACATAGTGTTTCAGCAGGCAAATCATCTGCTGCTCTTCCTCACTGTGAGAGATATTAAGTCACTTGCCTAATTAATACAGGTGATTGCTGAGATACCTAAGTGCAGTTGAAGCAGAAAAAGATTATGCTACATCTTCTTGGTTTGTCTTTATCACTTTAAAAGGGTTTAATGTCTTTTCCTTACTCAATGATCCAGGTGACTCTCAGCACATAAAAAAGAAAAAAACAGAAGCCAGAAAGCATCCTAGAATATATATGGAACATTTCTGGAGCATTACAAAGGTTGCTAAGACTAAATGAAAACTGAATTAAAATAGAACTTGTAATTAGAAAACAAATCTCAGGGGGTTTTGTACTCCTATCTATGAGCCTCTCTTTTGTTATGCCAATCAAGCATCAGTTATGCTTTTAGTAACTTCTTTCTCTCAGCCAATACTTTCAGCATTTCATCACCTTCCCTCTCCCTCTTGCTTACTCCCTCTTTCCAGATCTTTGTTCAGCATCTCCCCTTCTTTTCAAACTCCTTTTGGTTCTTTGTATGCTATATCTGTGACCGTGACTCTAGAGATAATTCCACCCAGAAAAGAAGTAATATCATGTCTTCCTGTCTGGGGACAAAATAAGCATTGAATTACTTTAGTTATGTCTTTAATATGTGCTTCACAGGCCCTTCCGCTGCTTATTATTGCAGGACAATATAATGATTAGACACTTGGTGTCTTCTTTGGCCATCAACTTGTCAAGGCACTGGCAAAACAGAATTCTAATGCTATATAAATAACTTGTTTGTTGCTCAGTTTTACAGTGCATTAATCGTAACCTTTAAAAAAACCATACTGAATCTAAAGTTACTTATTTCTGCAGAACAGGACAAACCAAAGTTGTCCATCACATTTTACAGCTGCAGTGATTGAAATAATATTCTAGCTAAAAGTATACTAACAAAATTGCAGTGACAGTTTATGACCAAAAAAATCGCATGGGACTCTTGCTGTTGCAGTTCTCTCTGAAAGACACGTGTCACTCTTGCAGAAGACATCCTCGCTTCTCCTCAAGAGTCCCTCAACACCATTAAGAGCAATAGGAACCTGGAAACAAGAGAGTGAGTAGAAGAGCAAAGTTTAATATTGCTCAATGCACTACATTTGCTTGGTGTTACGCATGTTAACACAGGTTAGATACTGCTACACTAATATTTTCCTAAGTGCTTTCCTAAGCTTATATTTTTCTATCCCAAGTTGTTTGTGAAATAGCTTCTACTAAAATAGTGCCCTAGGTGCAAAACAGAGAGATAAAAGCAGATCTACTCTTGATCTACTCCAAGACAGAACTAGTTTACAGAGGCATCCTTGATCCTTATTTAGCACTGCAAATCATGCCATTTTACAAAAGATCAATCAGTACAAGCAGAAAAAGCAAGAAAAAAGAGGAAATATGAGAAACATAGACAATAACGTCCACTGGAAATAACTCTTGCTTCTGAATTGTCATCCAGAGACATTTGGAACCCAAAACACACTTTCACAGAAAATTGCAAATAGCCCATATACAGAAGGATACATTGGAACATAGAGACAAGCCAGCAAAATAGTAAAATTGGAAGCAAAGTATTTATTTTATTATCCCCAGGATACGTGCGCGATTAAATTTTATGATCAACTTTCAATATTTTCCCATTCAGAATTCAAGTCAACTGACCTTCTTTTTGTCCTAACTCTTGTTATTTCCTGCTAGCTATCACAAAATAGCAGTATCCTTGGCATCATTCAAAGAGATTTCCTACTTCTTTCCACACACGCAAGAAAAGAACAAACAGATTCTTCTGGGTTTAGTGACAATTAAATGATGCAGCCGCCTGCACGGTGGCACAGGCTAAAGTAGAAGTGTGTGACTGCTGTTCCCTTGGTGTTTGGAGCAGTCTTGTTTGCCTCATGCTTATCTTTCAAAGCAGGAACATCTTAAAATAAAAGCTCGGAGGGGCCAGTAGGGAACTAGCTGGCAATACTCTTGTTTTGAAAACATCTTGTGAGCCAGGTTGCTCTTACTGAAGAGGACGATTCAGATTTATAAAGTTAGGTGTAAGGTCAAGTGCTCAAACACATCAAACTTACAATGCCAGCACTGACTGCCTTAAGTATAGCATGTGTATTCACTTATGGGCAGGGTAGGGGTCAATGTTTTTTGGGGTTTAATCATTAGTCAAGAAATGAGGAATTTGAGGGAGGGACAGCAGATCAGATCCCTGGAAATATGCTGTAGATTAAATGTGTCTCAATAATAAAGGGGAGCGGAATTATCTTACGATGCTTCCTTTCCACCGAGTCCTGGCAGAAGGGCAGGCACTGAGAGAAGACATACAAGTGCTCACAGAACTTCTCAACAAGGAGGTTCTTGATGCAGAGAAAATTACAGAAATTAGAGGAAATAGAAGTCATTGCCTTTATTTAGAGAGCATGAATTTGTGACTTGTCCTGGTTAAACTTAGAGAATAAACTACAT